TTGTCCAAGAAGGGATGGGGGGAAAAAAGTTGGCCCTTACCTAATCCACACACATATACCCAAATTTGTACACAATTTGGAAAGCACATTTTTCCATGTTTGCGTTGCAAAATTACATGTTGAATTTTGCAACGCAATTCAAAGCATTAAAAATGTACCAAATAGTAAACATGCATTCAAAGTCTATAGAGAAAATTGCTTGGAAAAAAAAATGCAGCCTTTTGAAAAAGCAGGCACAAAAATGGATATAGACGGGAAAGAGCATGTAAAAATGCAAACACAAAGGTTTGGAAAACTGGGAAAATAAACCAAACCCAACAGGTTCCGTTGTCCCAAACAAATCAAAGTTGCAGTCAGCCTGAAAAAGATCTAATCTCCCGGAAGCCAAACTGAATACATACTGATAAATAGCACTGACAATAGTAGGTTAGTCTGATTTTGGATCTCATTCAATTGCCTTACATCCTCCGTATGCTAATTCATATAGTAAAGATTCTTAATTGGCTTCTAACCCACATAAGGAGAACTTGTGGCCATCCAGATGTTACTGAACTATAATTGCTAGCATCCCTCACTAATGGTCATACTGGCTGGTAGGGCAACTGGGTAGTGTGGTTTTATCTGTGGGGGCTATAGATTCTCCATCCCTGTTCTACATCTTAGCTTCTTCTTTGAAGTAATAATCTGTAATCTGCTAAACAGTGGAAACTGGAATAGTATTATTTATTACTATTAGAATAGCTTCAACTCAGGATTTACTACTAATAGATGTCACAAAGATAAACAGGGTGGATCTGCTTAGTACTTAGACTGGAGACCACTTGGAAAAATCAGGACTGTAGGCTAGACTGGGAAGTCAAATATAGTCCTGGAAGAAGAAAATATTCAACCACTTCCACAATGTGGCTCCGAAAACAATATGGTTATTAGAAGCCAGGCTCACTTTGAAGGAGGCTGTACCTATCTGTAGGCATACATTGGACTGCAGCATAAATCAGGAGTCTTCAAAAGTTTTTGCCTAAATGTATGTTATGGAACCAAGTTTCAACTGCTTAGATCTGCAGCCCAAAATCAGTTTCAAGGTGGTGGCTGTGTGCAGTAGCAGCATTGTGACTATAACGTACAGACCCCCTGGCTTAAACATTTCACTTATCTTTCAAACTTTCTCTGTTTCCTCCCCACGTTTTTTTGCCATATTGTCTGACTAAGAATTTGCATAGGTTTGAAAACTTGCACACTCTTTTTGCATCATTCTGGTTGGTCCTCATGAAGGTATCATGCACAAACACATCCATACTCACAATATTTTCCTGCTTAAAAAGGGGGCACCCATATTTCTGAATGCATTATTTAAAAAAAGAGAAAGGAACAGACATTTCTGAAGATCACCATACATATCTTGGTTTCTCCAGAGGTACATGAGATACTTGAGTCCATAGAAAGCATTGTAGCTCTCAAATATATAGTTTCTTTTGCTAAAGAAAGAGTGTTTAATTACTTTAAGGTAGTAGATAGATGAAGAGTTACTTGAAGCAGCAGTTCAGAAAGACAGTGAACGTTCACTCAGCCTGGCTCGGTTAAAATCACACTTCATGGTCTCAAAAAGCAGCTTCACCAGTTCGGTCTTCCCTCGAGCCAGCATGGCTTTGGAAAGTTCAAGCACCTCACTGGTGTGATGCCGACAGACCAGCCGAAGTTCCTGTTGCACCTGCTGATTTGGATATTTGTCTTCTGCCTTCTTTACCCACAGCTCTACCTCCTTCATTAGCATCTCCATATTTATTCTCTTCTGAGCAAACAGGGTAAGTAGCAGTTCCATTAAGCACCGGAAACTCTCTCTGTGCATGGAACCCACATCGTCCAGCTCTATGGCCTGCTTGAAGCATTCCATGGCCTCCAGCAACTCATTTTTAATCCAAAGGCATTTTCCCTTCAACACCTGGAGTTCGGGCAGGACATTTCCCAGATCTAATTCCATAGCTTTAGCAAGGAGCACAAGGGCCTTGTTCAGGGCACTTTCATCCACAAGGAAAAGCTCCTGCATGGCATCTACTCCCAGGTAGTAATATACCTATTAATAAAAACAGAGGGGAAAAACCAACAACCACCAAGGCCACACATTAAAAAAAAAGCATAATCTTACATATAAAGAACCAAGAAGGTCCACAGGATATGGAAAACAACAATCTTAAACTTCAATGGTTAAAGAAGTATTTTTTCCATGTAGTTATAATCAATCATTAAATATTTTCCAAGGAGGAAGATCTTGAACCTCAAAGTTTTGTTGTATCAGACTCTGATTAGTCTCTAGAGACAGAGTGTCAGAATAAAAGAACCACCATGCAGAAAGCCCTGGGGTATCCCTTCTATCATGGGAAGGACTGTTACTATTTTTTTTTCTTTTTCTTTTTTCTTTTGTGAACCAAAGAACACATAATTTAAGGATGCCACCTGAAAGCTAGGAAGTTCAGTTCTTCTTTTCTTTTAGGAGTTTGGGTTTTTAAAAAATAAATAAATAAAGTAAGTGTGTTAGATACTTAACATAGATATTTGTGCTGAGATTTTTGGCCCAAAACTGATAGAAAATTACAGGTCTATTATTCAGCAGTATGCAACATTTTGTTAGCACTGTCTTGCACTGCTAGAAGATCTGCCAAAAGGACACCAAGGACTGGATGAAGTTGGTCATGCTTGCCTTGGACACAGACTCCTGAAGAGAGAAGTTCCCTAAGATATGCTGTTGCAGAACAGTTCCGATTTTTTACATAAGCCAATGTAGAAGCTACTTGGCAGATAATTATCAATAAAATCCACTGAAGCATTATATTGGCTAAGAGAATAAAAGATTCATAGGTTATATTAAGTTCAACAATCTCCACTCATTTAGTCTTATAAGAGTTGAATGAATCTTCATTTAATACTAGACCTACAGAGAGAGAGAGAGAGAGAGAGAGAGAGATGACCAGGGACTTTCCCAGCTAAGATTTATGTTTATGTAAAAATAGTCTGGTCAGCCCAATGACAATTTGTAATTTTTCTGCTCAGGCAAAGTGCCTCTTATAACACCTGCATTCCACTGTCTATTGGCAAGGAGGGAAGAATGAGTTGCTTTTCAATGTTCCCCTTGTTCAATATTTATTTATATGATTGACCTGAGTTCCCTCTTTCCAGCACAGCTTCCAAGGCAGATTATGTCTAAACTAACGATATGGTTTGTTTATTTGTTTATTAAACTTGTTTGTATGTCACTGCAATCAGAAATGACTCTCGGTGCCTCATACAGAGATACATAACGTGAAACAAATTCATATAAAAATAAAAACAGGATGACACTTCAAGAATAGAAAGAAAATAAAAGATGGCAACATCGAATCAAATCAGGGGAAGGCTATCCAGAAAAACTTAGGGTTGGGGATCTTGCGGAAGACCTGCCAAGGGAGCCAGACTGATATTCCACAAAGTGACCCTGCAAGAGAAAAGCAGCATTTCCTTGCCTCCGCAATCCAAACTCTCGGAAAGCGTGGGCTTTGCGGCAGACCTCCCTTCCTGGAGCTCTATAAAGCGAAGAGATTTGGGCTGCGGGGTTAGGGGAGCTCTGCCAGTTAATTGTGGTTAGGTTATTCTTATGAGCTAGATTGTGTTCATGGCCTCCCGTGCTGGGTTTTGTTAACAATGGTTGTAGTTTTAACTCTTGTATGCCACCTGGAGTCATTTTTGAGAGGTGGGTGGCCTTACAAATTGTTCAGATAATAATAAGAAAAAAAGCCTAAACCTTTAAGATTCAACAGCAAATAGGAGGAAACAAAAAAGACCCTAACAGTTTGGAGCCAACTTGTCTCAATGCTCATTGTCTCTTACAAAAAGGTACCTTAATGTTAAGTTCTTTTGTGAGGGCTTTCCCAAAATGAATGAAGGTGAGCAAATCCCAGCTGTTAACCACTCTCCCCAGAATGGCTTGCCTGGCACCTCTGTATGACTTTTTTCAGGATCATGTGAAAAAATATATCTTTAACCAGAACTTAATTTGCATACACACAGGCACACAGAGTGCGCACGTGTGTGTCTGTGTATGCAAATTAAGTTCTGGTTAAAGATATATATATATTTAACTAGAACTTTTAAATCAGAAAACCTATGCTTTAACATAGTCTTTTTCACCTGATTTGTTTTGTTTTGCTAAAAAAAGTATGCTTAATTGCTATTTAGTATTATTGCATATTGCATCTTTAAAATTACAGCTATTCTATTTTGCTCAGACTTAGAATATTTCATGATCCAGGCGGGAGGGGCAAGAGGGGTCAGTGTGACATAAGCAACATTCCAGCATCATGATGCAAGCCCTACCCACACAGCAAGGGGCTGAGTGTCTGATGTGAAGTTCCAAGAGCTTTTGGACCCTGCTATTCTTGATTGGCTGTATCAATTTAATAAATTTATGAGCAGATATTTTTAACATGGGAGCAAATTGATTTTGAACAAAACAAGAACAACTCCTTAGTCCTACACTATAACTTGCTGAATAGCAACATTTTATTATCTGTTTTCAGATTAGGCTTCTAATCCACCATCAACAGACTTCAAAGATGGCCTTTTAAGTGGGGTCCCAACATCACTGTCTACTCTCTGTAAATCTCACTTCTTTTCCCATCAGTCCTTCTGCCTCTTTTTGTCAGGGAAAAAATGGAATAACTGCCCAATGCTTTTGGATCAGTAGCCCTAAGAATTCTCCATCTGGGAGTACCCTAAAATAGTGAACTCCATGAAAATACCTAGACAGTATGGATGCGTTCGCTTACCTGGCCAAGGTCATGGTAAATTTTCAGGCAGGGATGTACTTGGATGACTTTTTCAAGATCAACTTTGGCCCCAAAAAGGTTGTTCTGGTCCGGCATTCCAGCCAAGCCTATCTTCACACGTTCTGCGTCGCGCAAATACAGCTTAATCAGCATCTAAAGATAGAGGTATAGAATTCAGTTGACTTCATTTGTTTTTATCACGGCTGAAAGGGAGAATATATAACCCCATGTCCTTTTCTCTGCTTTTGAGGCTCCTAGAAGCTGAACAGGGAGCAGGGGAATGTGGTCTGGCTAAGGGGGAAGATGCTGGCTAAGGCATTCCTCTGGAAAAGAAGAGGTATACCAAACAGATATACCAAGGCAGAATGATGAAAACCTAGAGGGTTTCTGGGTGAGGAGTTTTGAGACCTCCAGACTTTCAATGTGTAGGCTCAACTCCTCTGCTACACCCCCTTTTAATGTCAATGTTATATTACGTTGCTAATATAGTTAAATGCATATCCTTGTGCCTGTTAGTTTGATGTAATAAAAGATATTCTTAAAAGTATTAGATCCTTCAGAAATGCTCTCACTGGGTAGGATCTGCAGTGACAGAACAAACACTAACTTTAATCATCTGTTCAAAAGTACTCCCAGTTGTTTTGCTATGTGACCAAGTGGATTCTTTTAAGAGTGATCTACATACCTTGGCACGCATACAATATGCCTGCCAGTTAAGTCCTGGATCAGGCAATACATCCAGAGCCATGTTGCAAACTGCCATTGCCATCTCCAGCTTGCCAAGGAAATGGAAGACTTTTGACAGGCGGTTGAGGACAGGTGGATTACCTCTAGCAACTTCTATTGCCTTAAAAGCAAACACATTCACAAAGCATTTGCCTCCTTTAGTCATCAGTTGGCCATGAACAGGGAAAACTATGATCAGTTATATTCACAGTTTGGACACAGATGAAAAGGTGGGGCCCTTTGGCCACTTAGGTTGGGTGGGAAATCAATAAAAGAAGGGATTTGTCCACTATGTTAATAACTGTTGTTACTGTAAAAGCCTGGCTACCCATTTTGACTTAATGGTATCGCTGCCTTCCCAGAACAGGCCTGTGTTGAGCAGCTTTATGAACAACAACAATTCCAATTCCAAGAAAGTGGATGTGTTCAGCAGCCATATTCTTGTCACAACCACCCCCACCTGGATGCTGCATTAGACTACACCTCCCATAATCATCAGCCAGTTGGTTGGGGTGAGTGGGATTGTAGTCCAAGAGATATAAAGTCACCAGGCTGTGACTTTACATCAAGACATTTTAAAAATGGAAGATCCCACATGCCCTCAGCTTCTTTAATTCATGGCTGAAAGAAAACTTGGCCAGTTCCCTAGAAAGACTAGAAGATTTAGCAAAGAAAAGCCATGTTAGATTATTTAGATTTGATTAAGGTTTAAGGCTTTAGGGCAGTGTTGTCCAAACTTGGCCACTTTAAGATGAGTGGACTTCAACTCCCAGAATTCCCCCCCCCCCCCCCCGCGGGGGGGGG